ATTTACTGACTGGGAATTAAATCAGCATGAACTGGTTTCGGAGCATCTGTGCTGGGTATTTGCGATGAGCAAACCAGCCCATTTATAACAATGTCATTGGATTAGAAAGCTCCATCGACACAAACAAGCTCTTAAGAGATGCAATATAATAATCTTGGACACTGAAGAACACTGGGTGGGCAGCCCTCTCCTCCTTTATTCTTTTCCACTGAAATTGAACCCTGTCTGCAAAAACATTTCAGTCAGGAAAAAGTTTCAGGCACATCAACATACCTGTCGCTACATGCCCTTGTAAAAAGTCCCTCTCCAGCTTTCTTGTAGGCCCCTTCAGGTAATGGAAGGCTTCTCTTCTCTGGGAAGATCTTACAGCAGCCTTCCAGTACCTGAAGAGGCCTGGAAGAAATCTGGAGAGGGACTTTTTACAGGGGCATGTAGCGATAGGATGAGGGGCAGTGGCTTTAAACTGAAAGAAGTTAGACTTAGATTAGATAGAAGAAATTTTTTACTATGAGGGTGGTGAGGCCCTGGCACAGGTTGCCCAGAAAAGGTGTTAATGCCCCCTCCCTGGCCGTGTTCAAGGCCAGGTTGGACAGGGTTTTGAGCAACCTGGTCTGGTGGAAGACGTCCCTCCCCATGGCAGACGGGGTGGAATGAGATGATCTAGAAGGTCCTTTCCAACCCAAACCATTCTATGATTCTATGTCCTCAAAAGTGCCGGGACCCTAGGAAAATCGAGAGGCTGCAACAATCAGGTTGTCTTTGGGACAGAAGTCCAGTTGGCCAGGGGCTGTGTGCACTGGGAGCTATTTGAAACCCAACATTTTAAGTCCATGCGGGTAGCAGAGTGCTGCTCTTTTTCCATCCTAGAGTTCAGTGGAGTATTAACAGCGATATCAACAGAATCAGATGTTGGAGGTCCTTGTGCTAACAACCAGCCCCCTGCATCATGTACCGACAGGGGTCTTTGTGTCCCATCACCCTCCCTGATATTGTTGGGGGTCACCACTCTCTCTGGTCAGCTTGTGAATGTCTTTGGGATTTGTTTTCATGCATGATATGCTCTGGCAAATTCTAGGTTCACCTAGGAATGGCACAGAGTCTGTGTTCTACTTCTCCACTACAACCATGGTTGGGATCACATGGACTTTGCAGAGTAGCTAAGGGGTCCCACACAGAAATGGTGCTGGCTGTATGCAGTCCTGCTGCTTCTCCAATATGGGGGGTTTGCTGAAGCTGGACCTGCAAGTTTTTCCTACTTTGTGCTTCCCAGGAAGCAGCCTGTTTTACTGAGAGACCTGGAACGAGCTCAGATCTCTCTCTTCAGCATTTCATACACGTGGTATATACCTAGCCTCCTCACACCAGGCAAGGCTACTGCGCAGACTTCTCCCCAAGGTAGGAAGCATTCTTTCCAGTCTTCTTTAGGGTTTCCAAGAGGGTGTCAATGTTGTGCTCCGAGTCGATGCACACCTTCTTGTTGGGCAGGTCAATATCGAACTGGACACCTGAGAGGAAAGGAAAAACATTTGGCACAGCTAGAACAGGCAAATGGTGTGAGCATGGGGAAAGCTCACCCTCACACCTTTGTGCTCCCTAAGGCCATCAGTCAAATGCACGTGTGCCTCCTGCCCACAAACCTTGATACCACCACCAGCCAGCAAAACCAAACTGGTATCCTGCCAGCAATGGTACGAGGGAAGCCAGATCTGCAGAGCTGCATCGGGCACCACAGCTTCTCAACTGCTTTAATCTGCTCACCCCACCTTGGATCAACACAACCACTCATGCAATAACCAGAATGAGCTGAGTCTAAATCAACCACTATAATCTCCAACCAGCTCAGCCTGTGCTGTGGTTTAGCATGGATAGGCACTACCAAGGGAGTCAGCACAGGGGTTAGGACAGGGTCAGGACAGGTTTCCTCAGTGGCGGTACCAGCTAAAGCTGTAAGTAGGAGGAAGGGAGCAGACACTTTCCCATGTGGATTTCCCAGTGGCTAATATGGGTAAGCCGCTCTCAGCCCCGTGAAAGGATCTGGACATGACGTCGCTATCCAGCCACATGTTTTCACAAAATTTGAAGGTATGTGTCAGCTTGGAGAGCTCTGCCACATCATCACGAGGCTGCTATTGGCCAGCAAGTTGAAGAGTGATGGAGGTGCTGACAACCACACACGGAGGAAGTGGCATCACCACAGCCCGGTAACGGGGTCTGGAAGAAGTAGCAAGGCCTTCGCCTTGGTGACTGAAAGCTGTTCTTGCTTGGTGAGGACAGGGGAGCAGGATGACAGGTCCTCACAGCTGCAGAGTGTGGGTCAGATCCTCCTCTCTTGGTACATGCACAAAGGAGGCACAGGTTATAATTTTCCAGGTGGCATTAAAAACAGGCTGTGCAGGCCACCACCAAATGCGCTGCTCAGCAGCTCTTCTCTGTGGCTGCTGATGACACATCTAGGGAAGCACAGCAGATACCCCAGGCCTCCTTGGGAACAAGGATGTCCTGGCAGGTCATCCACCTCCCTTCCTTCTGGCAGCCTGAGCAGGGGTCTACCAGTGCGGTTCCCAGAGGGTTCAGGATAAGGCCCTGGTGATTCAGAGCCACCTGCAGCCACGGCAGCTCCTCCCTCCCTCGACATTTCTCCAGGAAGTCACACGAGTCCTGTGAACAATCAGCAACTCGTTACTACGGAGCAAGCTCAGAGGAGAGCGGTCAGCAGAGGTTTCCAGTCAGCCACTTCCAGCTTTTACCCACAGCACTGCCCTTGCAAGACGGAGGATCCTGGGGCACTGACATCCCGCCGCGGAGCTGGCGTTGCTCCGGCGAGCTGGCTGTCGCACACCCAGCACTGACTCACCTCCCAGCCGGTGCAGGACACGGGTGACCGCGTTGGAGCAGCCTTCACAGGTCATGTCCACAAAGAACTCGTGTTTCTGAAAAGAGGCAGATGGGGTGTCAGGGAGGACGCAGCTGGCAGTGCACCACGAGCACTCGTCCTCTGCACTTGCCTTTTTCCTTGGGAAGGTGGGTTCAAATCCTCCCCAACTAAGCGATCCTCAGCAAAACCGAGAGCTCTCGGTACTCCTGCCTGTGGGGTCCTTGTGCTGTCCCTCACAGCATAACCCTAAGGGACTCTGGAGGTTGTCCGGCCCCTACTCAGCGCAGGGCCACCTTCACGCTCCGCGCAGGTTGCCATCCTATGGGCTCCTGCTGGACTCCCTCCACTTGCCCTGGGGAGCCCGGGAGAAGCCAGCCTCCTGCCTCCAGCTACCCACTGCCCTGCCTTAGTCTGCAAGGTTCTCGGTGCTCGCCCATCCTATTCTTCTCGTGTCGACAAGGCCTCTGGTCCCCGACATAACAAACTCATAAAAATATTAACAAAACTGAAATTTCAGGAACATGAGTGCTGTTTTTTCACCCCTTCACTCCAGCAGGGCCCCAGTGTTATCCTCACTGCTTGTGAGAGGTACTGGATCAGCGTGAACGTGCTTGCCTGTAACACCAATCATGGCGTTCAACCTTTGGCACCGGATGGACCCTAAAAGCACATGCTTTTTATTTTCATTTAAAAAGAAAAGTAATGCTGTTTTTTTTCATTTGATACCTGCAACCCAGACTCCTTTTTACTCAAAGCCACCCTTTGCCCCCCGCAGCCCTCCCTGGCACGCCTCGCCCCGGGAAGCAGCTCCCGTTCCTGGGACCGGCCGCTCCCGTTAGCCCTGCCCAGTTTAAC